TAACAGGCCACAAGATCCCCCCTCAGCCTTCTCTTGTGGAGGCTGAACAGGTTCAGGTCCCGTAGTCTCTCCTCATAGGGCCTGCCCTGCTGCCCCCTGATCATGCGAGTGGCCCTCCTCTGGACCCTCTCCATGCATTCGCGAGCATTCAGCTGCACCTCCAGAAATGTAATACATCTCATCCAATGCACAAAGTGCCCTGATGCAAAATGGATAGGAAAAGCCAAACAACAATTGCACACCAGAAATCTATCAAAGACAGGAATACCCAGTTACCGGTGGGGGCACATTTTTCACAAGAAAACCGCTCTCTCCAGTCTCTCAATCCTGATCCTCAAAGGGAATTTACAAAACACTTTTCACAGATGAACCTATGAACTTCACTTCATCAGCCTCCTGGATACAAAAAATCATGGACTAAATAAAGACATTGGATTTATGACACATTATAATCTGCCTGATATCTGACTTCCCAGGTCTCCACTATTTACCAGCTGCATTCATTTCTGCCCCCCCCCAAATGTCTTTCACCCACTGATTCTTCAATTTACATCTTCACTGACTGCCTTTCTTGCACGCAGCCCAGCCTCTGGCTTCTTTACTGTTCAGTCCATCCAGGAAGAGCACACACCAACTGCAGATGCTTCCTCAGCCTGACAAAGGGTATTTATACCCCAAAGCTTGCAAAGAAGAATTTTTTCAACTATTTTAGTTGGTTTAATGAAAGATATCAGATTTACCTAATAAACCTTGTCTGTCCATACCTTGGGGGCAAATGCTCTTTGATCTGGAATGTGGCAAAGTCTGTCAGCGCATTTCCAGCATAGAGGACTATAGTAACAAGCACCTATGGCCACAGCCAGGATGTTGTTCCTAGCTCCTTTTCCTTTAGATTTTATGCTATGGTTTTGTCTAAGGCTAAAGTGAATTGCAGTCAGATATGCTAATTATTTACCCATCTTTTTGGAAGCTACCCAGTTACTATCTGCCTTGCATTAGGAGATGCATCATGAGCAGGTCTAGGGAGATGATTCTTCCCCTCAATGCAGCATTGGTGAGGCCGCAGATGGAGTACTGTGGCTAGTTTTGGGCACCGCACTTCAAGAGGGATGTGGATAATATGGAAAGGGTTCAGAGGAGGGCCACTCATATGTTTGAGGGCCTGCAGGTGAGATCCTATGAAGACAGACTGAGGGACCTGAATCTCTTCAACCTCTGCAAGATAAGGCTGAGAGGTGATCTCGTGGCTGTCTACAAACTCATTGGGGGAGGGTCAGCAGGGAATAGGGAATACTCTGTTTACCAGGGTGCCCCTCCGGGTTGCTAGAAACAGCGGCCATAAACTGAAGGAGAGCAGATTTAGATTGGACATCAGGAATAAATTCTTTATGGTGAGGGTTGCCAAAATATGGAGTAGACTTCCTAGGGAGGTGGTGCTTTCTCCTACCTTGAAGGTGTTCAAGAGGAGACTGGACAAGCACCTGGCTGGGGTCACTTGACCCCAGCGCTCTTTCCTGCCCAGAGCAGGGGAGTGGATTCAATGATCTAATAGATCCCTTCTGATGCTAGAAATCTATGAAATCTAAATCCTCTCTAGTAATAGTCTATACACTGTGTTTTAATGTTAACATTGTCATTAATTTGGGATTTTGCGGAAAGATCTACAGCCCTGAAAATTAAACCTCCCTGCACTGGCTGGGCAAAAGGCTTTCCCAAACCTGCCTTGCTAGTAAACCTCACCCTTGAGGGTTGTCATTGGTTAAAGAAAGAATTCTGGCTTCTTAGCAGAGATGATGCAAAGAGCTCACTTACTCTTGCCTCCCCTCCTTGTTAAAGCAGACAAACTCATGGTAAATGCTGCACCCCAGCTTACAGAAATGAGCAGCTTTTAAATGAACTTGCAGAGCAAAGAAAGTCTGCCTTTTTCCCTGTGCCTAAGCTGTATCCTTGTTGGGGACAAGATGGGGGTGTGTGTGTGTGTGTATGTGTGTGTGTGTAAGAGAGAGAAAGGGGGGGAGAGAGAGAGAGAGAGATTTCAGCAGACACCTTCAGGAGTGAATTTCGATCTCTGTTTCACCAACATATAAGAAAATTGCCAGTCCTTGGGGCAAAAACACTCACAGGCTTAACATCCTCTCAGAATCCTTTCCACTTTGCAAGTGAAGTGCATTGTAAAAATAGGCTGAATTGGAAATGGTTTGTGTAGTGTGTGGGCGGTGGCGGGCAGGGTGGCTGGTGAATTCTCTGCTATTTTAATCCATGCGCTGAATTCAGCTTGCAGCGTGCCTTTTGGTAGGGAAGGGAATTCCGTGGAGTGGAGAGGGCTGCAAGCATTTAGAACCAAGAGCAAATGTGGTGATGATGAAAGCAGCAGAAAGGCCACAGGAAAAGTGTGGGAATGTGCTCAGAGTGTTTTCAGGCAGGATGTGCTTGAAACAAGATTAGGATTGGCTTTGCCCAAGCCCCTTACAGGGATTTGCCTCTTGTATCTAGCTGGGCAAATGCACACAGGTATGGAGAGGCTGGAAGCAAGCAAGTATGCCATAGTGCATGTAGGTAAAGGCAGGTAGGATCCTGATCCTGCCACCGCGTCTTGTGGTGTGTGCAGGTGTCTGGTTGTGCAGCTCGCTTGTGGCATGGGAGCCTCCATGGGGCAAGTTTCCTATAGGGAAGCAGCAAGACCACCTGCATGTTGGAAGAGGCTGCAGCACTCTGTAGGTTGGACTTCATCCTTTTAGGATTGGAAATGGTTCCCTTCCTCTTCTTCCTCCCCCACCTGCCTGCCTGTGAGGTCACAGAAGCACTGGATCCAGGGTACAGTGCAGGGCTTGTTGGACAGACTCTGACTGCTGCCTTCCCTTTCCCCTTTCCCCTTCCCCTTTTCACTTCTTCCCTTTCAGCTCTGTGTTTGCAGGCTCTGAAATGATGATTACTCTCTCCAATCCATCTTTCCCCAGCAAGCACAGACCTCCCATTGTCCATGACTCTGCTTCTTGGACAGTCCCCTGGGGCACAAGTCTTGTTTATGTTGGCTGGGGTTTTGCCTCCTGTTTAATGGCCTTATCTGCTGGGCTGGACTGTGTCTTTTCAAATTTGTTTCACTGCTCTTCCTTTCTTTAAAGGGGAAACGGGCCTTGGAAAGTCCACGCTGATGGACACCCTTTTCAACACAAAATTTGAAGGGGAACCTGCCTCACACTCACAGCCTGGGGTCAAGCTGAAGTCCAACACCTATGACCTACAGGAGAGCAATGTCAACCTGAAGCTGACCATCGTGAGCACCGTGGGCTTTGGGGACCAGATCAACAAGGAAGACAGGTACACTGAGAGCTCGTCTGAAGCATGTCTTCCCACCTGCACCCTCTTTGATTCCCAGCTGCTCGAGATGGGTTGTAGCTTTGACCCTACTCCTTCATAGTGTGCACACTGCTGCTCTGGAGTAGATGGTGGCTGGGGAGGGAGGGCAGGCTGTGGCTTCTCAGAACCTGTAGTCCATCGGTGTTGCTTGGGTATGGGCCAGGAGATGGTGCCTGTGGTGCTGTGAGCAGTTTCTCCCCTTCTGCCCAGCTCCCTTCTGACCATTAGATGCCTGAGCTCTTCTCTCAGAACACAGAGAGCTCCAGGCCATTGCCTCGCCGCCTCTTGTGCCACAGCAACCCGGAGGCCTGATCAGAACCGCTGAAGCTGGCTAGACACTGCTTGTCTTGACTGCTTCTGGGTGGGGGGCACTGCTCTCTGCTGAAATACCCTGGGAGGACTCCTTTGGTACCTGGCAGCTAGTTTCCCAGTACCATTAAGAGTTTGTCCATTGTTATGAACATTAGAGCATCTGGCTGATCGCAGCAATCCCTGCCCTCTAACATGTTTTGGGATAATAGAGATGACCTTACTTCGACTTATCACTCTCTCTTAAATAGCTCCCCCAGCCTTGGTAGTGAAGTGTTTATTCATTTTCTTTATATCATGTGATGAAACCTTAGCATTTCTAGTCACTTCACAGGGTGCTACATGAGAGCCTTTTGCACAGAATAGATTTCTTGGCTCCTTGCAAGAGTGCTAACATGGGAGTCCATCCTATAGAAAGGGAAGAAATGCAGGGTTAACCTGTAGAAATCTGGGCAGTGACAGTAATGAGTCCGAGTGCTTTCTGGATTAGTCACTTCACCGTGCAGGAGATTAGTCTTAATCATTTATATTAGATGAGAAACACTTTAAATGAAAACAGTCCTCATGCTTCAAGGCAGAAGTTGATCACTTTTAAGAGAGGTAGTTAGAATGTGCTTCATCTTGCAAACTGGCACAGCTAGTGACCTTTCTTTTCTTTCTAAGAGGTTATTTAAGGATTTATTTTTGTTTATGGGGTTTCTTGCATCTTTTTTTCTGTCTTTTTTTGTAGCATGTGGGCATGGGGCTTTGCCAGAGACAGGGCACTGTGGTCAATCTAATATGACATTTCCACCCCCAAATGCAATGTACATTTCTTACAAATAAACACGGTGTGATGCTGTCATGGGTCCTAAACAAGTGGAACAATGTCTCAAAAATGGAGTGCAATATATAGTAAATGCGCATGTTGCTCTGTGTTGACAAGGTCTGTGATTCTTTCTTCCTCCTCTCTCTCAAAGCTACAAGCCCATCGTAGAGTTCATTGATGCTCAGTTTGAAGCCTACTTGCAAGAGGAGTTGAAGATAAAGAGGGTTTTGCACAACTACCATGATACCCGTATCCATGCCTGCTTGTACTTCATTGCTCCCACGGGCCATTCACTGAAGTCCCTGGACTTGGTAACGATGAAGAAGCTGGACAGCAAGGTAGAGGGCCCATAATCCTCTTGACTTGTTTTCTAATCCATGTGCAAAGCTTCACTGACCTGTCAAGGAGCCTCCACCTAATTTTTACTTGCTGGGGTAGATTAATGGGGTCCCTCAGGCACATCCCATAACTTTCCTGAAAAAGCTATGTCTTGCACCTGAGCTTGCCACACTTATCTAAATTGTGTTGTCAGACATAAGAAGTCACTTTTCTTTTGTGCCCAAGTGAAGCTCAAGCCCTGTTGTTCCTTTGTCTCGTCCAGGTCAACATCATTCCCATCATCGCCAAATCTGATGCTGTCTCCAAGAGTGAGTTAACAAAGTTCAAAATTAAGATCACAAGTGAGCTGGTCAGTAATGGGGTGCAGATCTACCAGTTCCCCACCGATGACGAATCAGTGGCAGAGATCAATGGGACAATGAATGTAAGTGGTGCAGTGGGATGTATTCCATGCAGTGCTGAGTGTTATTTCCACTTTAACCTTCATTTCACTTTAAAGAACAAGGATAGGATTTTTGCTGTAACTCATTTATGGTTCAGTTCAATCCAGTGTGCGTCAGTCTGACCCCAGTCATCAAAACTGATCCTTTCCTGTTTGAATCTTCTCCCCATGCCCTAGTTGCTTTCTAGAGGTGGTAGGGGAATGTTATCATGTAATGGTACTTGGGTGGGTTTGTTTTCTCTTGCTTGATCTAATGGGGGGCATGTAAAGAGAGCAGAATTGCTAATGGCTAGAACACAGGCCTGGACGCTGGGGAGAGCAGAGCTACAGCCCAGGGTCTGTCACTGCTCTGTGTCACTTCAGCTTAGTCTTACTTTTCTGTGCAGAGTGGCTTCAGGGTGATATGCAGGAAAGGTGTCATTTGTGTGTATGTTAAGTTTTGAGATCTCTGAATGGAAAGTACAATGTTAACCATGGCTGGCTGCCTTTCTGTGACAACTTGATTTTACTGTTTGAATGGTTTTGCTCTTGGTTCTTGCTCTGTCTAAATATCCTTACTGCAGAAGCTTTGGTATTTGACAAAGAAGTTGTAAGATAATAGCTAGAAAGTTGGTGGTTGATGAGAATAACGATTGCTTATTCCATGCACTGGTGGACAGAGAAATGGCCATTTTTCTTTCCCTGGAATAGGACCCACCGTCACAAATTCTAAGTATGCCGGGCCTTACTAATAGATGAGGAGAGGGGAAAGGAATTTCATCATACTAAACAGCTAAAAATCCTACTCTTCCAGGGGGATAGGGACTAACAGCTATAAAGAAAGGAGTCTGAACCTGGTCCAGGCAATGGGTCAAACCTATATCTTAAAACACTGAGAGTCCTCACCTGTGCAAACCACAGTGCCTCCAGCCTAGGGAGATTACCCAGTGCCTTGGTGCTAACATTGTTGCTGGGGAACTGGCTGGACTACTGGTACAATAAGTATGTGTGGAGCACTGACTCCCTCTTAATCGTGTATAGAAATCCAAATAAAACTATTTTAAAACAGGGTCTTGCAATGAAACAGACACAAGAGCAGAGTCGTTTCTTTCACTATTGATGTATAATCTCCACAGCCAGAAGATGGGATAGGTCAGACTGAGTCTAGAAGTTAGAGTGCACAACTGAACCAAGGACTTGCAGGTTCTACTCCTATTCCTGTTTGCTTTGTGATCTTAAGGAAGATGCCTCCATTTGCTCATGTTTAAGATGAGGACGAGGCTTGCCTTCTTCACAGAGATGTCATCAGGACTGATTTGATGCTTGCACAGTACAATGAGTTACTCAGAAAATGGTGAGATTGAAGCACAAGGCTAATTTTGATGCAGTGTCAGGATATAAAAATTAAGAGTTCATAAAACTGTCAGACCTCTGCTAGCCAAAAAGCAAAGAGCTGAGAAGTTGACTGTACATTTACTGTGGTAGGAAGATAACAGGGATCTTAAAGAAGCAGGGTATTGTAAGAATGTCACCAACAAGAATTGGAAAGCTCATTGCAGTAACGATTCAAATCTCTGAGAATTGCCTTTTTTTTAGGAGCTTGGTGGGAAGTCTGAGAATTTGCAGACTCTTGGCTTCTGAAGTGTTAGCCCAAAGCAGTAATTAGATATTTTATAAGCTGAGCACTGTGCAAGTGACTAATAGTGCTTTGTCATCAGTTTAGCCTGCAAAACATGCTCTGGTTGCTTGTGATTTGCTATAAACACATTGCTTGCATACCCAAATCTGCATTAATCAAGGCCTGAGAGTCCCATTAAACCAACTCCAGAATCTATTTTGTGTATGAGGAACCACATGTTGCTGTTTTTATCTTTTCTTTCAGGTTTGTTGGGCTGCTGCTACCCAGTGCTGAGGGAGATAAATGTGCACTTGTATTC